CGTAGTTGACTCCGCCATCCGATGTGTGTAGAGCCTTCTCTTCAAGAAGATTTTGTTGTGTAACGATTTGGTCTCATACAACTTTGTTAGTGGATCCCATTTTTCTTTGGCTGTCTTTTTCTCCGCCACACTTGACAATACTCCATCGGCTAGTGCTAGGTACAGATTAGCAATTGCATTACCATCCATCTCGTTCCACTTAGCATCGTCAGTGATCTCATCGAGCCTATCTCCAATTGCTGCCAAGTAGTTATCTTTCCTCAAAATTATTCTCATTTTCCACAATGAGAAATTGTTTCCATCGAACTTTTCAATCTCATATTTTGCCACCATTTTGTTCACGACCGCTATACTCCCTTGTATTAATAGTAAACAACGACCCTACACAAAATCGGGCTCTGATATCACTGTTAGGAAAACGTGGGTCAATTTTGACTTGAAATGAAAATGGAATTGAGAAAATACAGCTAAAAAATTGGAAACAAATATTTACGTGGTTCACCCAATTTAGGTTACGTCCATGGGCAAGTATACGAGGATTTCACAATAGTAGGAGAATTACAATAATACTCTCTAAATACAAGGAGATAACAACAATTAATCTCTCTTGTAATAGGACAAACTAAGTATGAAATACTCAGGATAAAACTCTCTATAAAACTTTCAATTCCTCTCTATTTGTCTGCTACATTTTCTCTTCAGTTTTTACCCATATTTATAGGCAAATATCACCGCGTGAATTAATTGAAGTTAGAAATTCAGTGCAACCAATTCTTGCCAACTTCCACCAATTCTGCATATTTTTCCTTCAACATTAACTGCCAACATGTTGAAAGTAAAGCCACTTTGTTTGACCCAACCATTTCAGCTTTGTAAGCCAATCTCTACCACTCTTCTTATTAATTTCAAGTTATTCTCAAGTATGAGTCCTAGTAATGAAGCAGAGAGGATGAAGATACCTTGAGTACCGTATGCATCAACGGTGGGTAGCTTAATGTTTGCTATGA